CTGATGCGGCAGCCACTGGTCAAGCAGCGGTGGGCATCGTTCTCAGCTCTAAGGCTGAGTCAGGGTTGGTTGAATGAAATTCCGTGAGCAGCCGTGTGTGCTAAGCCCGTTTGACGTAAGCAGCTAAGGTGTAGTAAAATACGGTTTGTGGTTTCCGCTTGTGCACCCACCAACTGCAGTTCTGAAGCTGCTAAGAACACCTATAATGAACTGAACGTACTATTACACCGTGCTACCACTTCAGATATCAAAGGACATACACGGGAAATGATTGCGCAATTAAGTCGTCTTGGCTCTTCAGAAGCTTACCTAAGTGGTAATTATGCATGTAACTCCGAACGGACGGACAACGACGAGCGGGCTTTCGCAACTTTATGCGGAGCAACAGCTGTTTCATAGTAGCACTGCTTTTAGATACAGTGGGCGCTGAACTGTCACTTGGCGTCCGCAAGTAGATGGCCAGCGACGGACTCAGATAGACCCCATTGCCATAAGTTACAAGTGGCGCCGTTCCATCCTTGACTGTCGCGAGTTCTGGAATACTTGCGTCAACTCTGATCTTGCCTTGGTACGCTGTTGTTTTTCCATGAACTTCACCGAGAGGAGTACAAATCGTCTCCCCCGATTGGCAAATGAGAAGTTATCTCAGTCTTCCTTTAGACAAGCCTATCAAGGCGCACTGGGTACCGAACTTTCGTCCTCTAGTCCCGATGATACTGAGTTTAAGTGGAATAGGAGTTCGGTCACCATGTACGACGTAGGAGCATCTGCTTGCGGCAATATCAATCGTCACCGCATCATTCCCTAGATATCCGAGAATTCGGTGAACCAGTTGGAATCCAGAAGAAAACTCCCGGCTGGCCCTGAGCACAATGTCATCAGACAGCCTATTCGGCGCGAACTAAAGCGGAGCCTGTGCGCTAACGAGGAACTCCAGTGGACCACTCGGGCTCAAGAAATCGAGGAAGCAGCAGCAGTAGGTAAGTACCGCAACTCTTACAACCGATCCGCACCATTGGTCCCAGGAAACCAGGCGTCAAGGAAACAATCAGAGACAACGTGTGTCCCCTCGTTGGGTGGAGCACTTTCGAGATCAGTTCAGCCGAATACCTGCTCCCGGACTCCTCCCCACTCAGGTGGTGCAGGTTGAGCTATAGCCGGTTACTTTAGAGTCTCCATCGGATGCTCCGGCCCGAAACGCTATCACAGCCCTTACTCACTTCGGGCAGTTGGCCCGGATTCCCTTGTACTCGCACTATTTAAGAATGGTGGTGAGTTCTGCAAAGCACTGACGTCTCTGTTCGAACAGGTCTGAAAAGCAGAGGCCATCGCAGCTAACTGGAGTGAATCGATTATGGTGACAATATCCGAGAAGGACAATCGTACCGAGTTGTAACCATAGGGGTATTTGCCTAACGCTGATGGTGACAGAAGTACGAGTCTCAGTTCTGGTTCGTCGCCTCACTGTGGAGCGGGGATCTTGGATTAGGGAAGAGCAAGCAGGTTTCCGCCCGGGACGGGGCTGTATAGACCATATATTCGCTCTACGGCTGGTGCTAGAGCAGTGTCACACGTATCGCAGACCGACCATAGTTGTGTTCCTCGCCTTCAATAGTGCGTTCGACTCAGTCGATTGATGTATTCAGCTCGAAATACTTGTGCGGAAAGATGTTTCGATGAAACAAGTGAGCATTTTACGTGCTCAATACTTGAACATGACAGGCCGTGTTAAGGTCTACGCTGAATTATTGGAAACCTTTCCAACAACTAGTGGTGTTCATCATGGTTGTCCGATTTCCGCGTTTTTGTTCAATTTCGTCGTAAACTCCATCATGCAGTGTTTCCCTACGGAGACCCAAGATGCTGTCTGGTGAAAGGTTAATTGATCTTGATTATGCGAACGATATGGTCTAGCTGTTTAACGATGTTGAGGCTGAGCACTCAATCCAGGAAAACGTAAAAACATAAAAGAAAACCCATTATTTTAGCAATTATTCAATTATCTTCGACCGTGCATTGAGTTCGAATATTCCGGAACCTTTTATTCTTACACGTGATCGCCAGCATGCGGATTTCGGCAGGGGGCTGCTAATTTTACCAGTTGACCTTCGTTTTTTTAGAGGCCGAAGATCATTGAGCCCCGTATATATTTGGCGTAGGTCTGGCCTATTTGTACAGCGTTTTGGCGGCGGTTTTGGCTACCTTTAACGGCGTTGCTGTTAACAGGTATTTCGTGGTCAAGGTCAGTGTACTTTTGATTTTTCTTCGGCTGAGCTAGAATTTTTACGGAGAAATTTTTGAGTGTTTGATTCGGAATAATGTGAAAATGTGAAGATCTAACAATGGCGACGGACAAGCACGAAAATGTCACAAACTTTTCCGCCGAACATTTTCAAAAGTTACTTTGTCAGCCACAATCCCAGATGGAAGCACAAATGAAACTGTTTGAAAGTTTGACGCAGTGCTTGAACGTACAGTCAGACGGAGCAGCTACACGGGACACGCAGACCGTTTCACACGATCTTCTTACAAATTCAATCAATGAATTTTATTATGATGCTGATTCCGAATGCACTTTCGAGGCGTTGTTCAAACGCTGGGAGGACATGTTCCGGACGCATTTCAGCCGTCAAGATGAATTATGGAAAGTGCGTCTTTTGTTCCGCAAGCTCGGTACTAATGAACATTCAAGATTCGTTGACCACATCCTACCCAAAGAGCCGAAGGACATCACTAACAACGAAGCAGTGGCAACACTCAAAGAAATTCTTGGTGATTCAACGTCTACGTTTAGCATTCGCTACCAATGTCTAAAAATTGTTAAGCGTGATACGGACGATTATGGGGCAGTAGCAGACATGGTTAGCCGTGAAAATGAACGTTTCAAGTTACGCTGTTTGATGGATGACCAGTTTAAGTGTCTCATATTTGGCAGTGCTTTACAGTATCCTCGCGACGCGGAAATCCGCACTCGGCTATTTGCTAAGTTGGATCCAGATCCAGATATGATATTGAAGTCTCTTGTAGGCGAATACAAATGGTTGATTACTTTGAAACACGGCACCGCTACGATTGAGCAGAGTCACCCCATCATTGCTGTGCAAAAAGCAAGAAAGGCTGGCTCGAACAAGCCGTCCAACAAAGCGCCGAACAAGCCGCCTACACCTTGTTGGTCATGTGGTGAATGGCATTTCGCACGATACTGTTCATTAAAGCGTCACATTTGTGAGAAGTACCATAAACGCGGCCACAAGGAAGACTTTTGCCATCAGTTCCAACCAATAAAGGTGAAGCAGTGCTACCGAAGGAAGAACTTCAGGAATCCTGACGCAAAACTATTATCGGTGATTGCCACTTTTCACAGCGATCCTAGAACACACCGCCGACTTATCACTGTGCTCATTAACGGAATCCCAATCAGGCTGCAGTTCGATACGGCCTCAGATATAACGATCATTTCCAAGAACAGTTGGAAGCACCTAAAGAGGCCGAAGAGGGTTGATTCCAACAAAGTCGCCCACAACGCATCTTACTTAACTTCTCTAGTGTGGTCCCAACATTTAGTATGCGCTTCATACCTACAAAGTGTAATGTTGTTGCAGGACCACCAGTCCCTTGATGATGAGGAACTAGAGGTAGTTGGTCACTTCGCTTACATTGGCAGCTGTATCTTCAACGATGGGAGCATAGCATCTGAAGTCAATTCATGTATTGCAAACGTTAAAACTGCTTTCGTGAATCTGCGACATCTATGACGCCAGAAAGGTGTTTAACTCGGTCTGAAAGACCGCGTTTACAAGGCCACAGTGAGGGCCGTCCTACTCTATGGGAGTGAGGCTTGGCCTCTCCGATCTGAGGAAGTGCGGCGCCTTCAAGTCTTTGATCATCGTTGTCTGCGGAGCATCACTGGTGTCGGTTGGCACCAGCGTGTCCGCAACGATGATGTGCGTTAACGAGTACTAGGCAGCGATAATCATACTAGTTCCTAAGAATAACAGATAGTACTTAAGAAGTTGCATTTGCCTAGGCACGTAGTACGTATGCCCGGCCACCGCTTACCGAGGAGATCGTTGTTTTATCTGCCAGATGTAGGGTGCGGCAAAACTCGAGGTGGACAAAAGTCGACTTGGTGGCGGGAAATGAAGTCACTGACGACCAAACTTGGTGCCGTTGATCCTCGCCCTCCGGGCTGAAGTCCATGTGGCTCGCTTTGTGCTTGGCTCGAGACTCTACACGACATGGCTCGTAACCGATACCCGTGGCGTGTCTGTTGCTGTCTCCTAATCGGAATGCCTGTTTAAGGTGTGGTTGGTGCTGTTTTATCTGCGGGGTAATGGCTGTTTACGACGCGAGGCAGCGAAAGCTGCAAGGACGTTTTATCGTGGATGCCGCTTTACTTTTACACGATGGCCAGCTATTTGTGGTGGTATGTTGGTGACAAGGTGTAGACGACTTGACCCTAAATTTTTGCTTCAGACATTAAGATTTTCCGGCAAATCCCCTTTCTCTCCCTCTTATTCTTATTATTATTTTCATAGGTCGTTGTGGTTGTATGGCAGGGAAGCATCAGTTCAAATGGATGATGTACTGCTTTGGAAGATGCGCTAAACGTTGCTGAAGGATCAAGGCATCAGCCGTAAGCCAGTAATGTTACGAGCTCCACTTTTGGATAAACGATGAGTCCAAATAAGGAAGTAAACGGTCGCGGAGCGAGCAATACCGAAGACCATTAATGGAGGTCGGCTCGCGAATAGTGTGTCAGGTGAGTGCAGTGTTCAAGCTTTCGTAGCTGTATGTCGAGTGAAAACAGAGGAGCTCAAAATACAATCACTATGCCAAGAAGCTCTGCAATGGTGAACTATTAAGGTGAATACAAGGAGGAATTAATCAGCTGAAGATGATGTGCATAGTCAATGGATAGGTTAACAAAGAACGGTGTTAGTGTTACTGAGGAATAACTATCTGGGGCAAAGCGAAAGTGTATAAGGCCGAAGACTAACCTGTTCGGTCGATGCTTCTTGGAAACAGTCCTTTTTTCACGATGTTCGGTTGGAGGTGGACTAGTAAGAACGTGCAGGCTAGATGTGTTGCTAGTCGCTTTCCTGGTTTTAGTATGTGAAGTAGATGGACCAGGGACAGATTCCGAACGAGAGATGCCAGACAAGTAAACTGAGTTATCCGATTCGCGAGACTGTGAGGAGGTTCCTATACCGGACAATTCCGTTTGACCCGGAATGCTGAATGAAACCCGCCTATTATCCACAGTTAACGAGTGATGTGGTCTGTTAGAAGAAAAAGAGCCGACAGATGACACGGGTAGAGCTTCTACTGAACTAGAGTGGTGTGAATGCTGGTGCGCTGACGAAGAAGGCGTGCAGTGTTCCTGGTGCAACAATGAATGCGTAAAGGTTGCTTCGCTTGGTGTGTCGGCGAACTGTGGGAAAGAAACAACGGGTGGATGAATGCATTTAGGTGAGACACTTGTGTTGGTGGATCGACGGGTGCGAAATGCAGACGGCTAAACGAAACGAGCATTTCGCAGATTTGAGAGTTAAGTCAGAAGTAGAAGAAGCTGATAAGTCAAAGATTGCATCAGCGGCGGGATGCGTTATAATAGGGAGTAGAAAAAATGAGTTCAATGACAACAAGGTTAGGTTAAAGCGAATTAAAGCGAACGATAATGGTTAACAGAATCGGAGCACCACTGCTTAAAACACACTGCTGCACCAGCATTGTAAAATTCTCGTGTGGCAGCGTATGGATATAAATGTGAGATTAACTGCAAGACCAACACAAGTTTACACAAGAATTTGTCACTCATACATTAAAGAATGTCGTTTGCAAAAAATACCAACGGCATGCCCTTGCTAGGCGAATATTCATGCAGTTACCATCACAAGCAACATGTACAATAGCAATTGTGTTAATCGGTCTAGCGGCGAATATCTGCGTTGAAGTCATCGAGTTACACAGACTGGAATCAATTGTAAAATGAGATGTGTTAATAGTCGTATTATAGGCAGCAGTCTACGGAATAGACGTAGCGCCAGAGAAACTATGGAAATTCCTAGAAATCGACCTTTGCTACGGGGCTCCGAATGCCCTGACAAGTTGGCAATTGTATAAGTCACATTCGAAACTGTGCAATATAGGGGTGACAGTAACTACAGTCGAATGGAACCAATCCACCATCAGAAGTGGCATTCATAATATGAGGATGCGCAAGTTAACGCTTCGCATCGAGTAAACGAGCGGACAAACGTGTATTCAAAAAAATGCGCAGCAATATAGGACAGTCTTTGTAAAGCATACGCTAACCTGAAAATTTCAAGTACGATTGCAAGCAAAGGACCACCACTCACAAACCACATCCACTAGTATCGATGTAAACGTATATATATATATATATATATATATATATATATATATATATATATATATATATATATATATATATATATATATTCACTCTGTTAACAGACATTGTGCCATCAGAACCATGGCAGAAGAAATAAGTGGAAATGATAGAAACACGAACTGCGATTTTTAGAAAATGGAAAACCATTTTTTTGGTTTTACACACGCCATTTTGCATTTTTCGTTTTGTGAGGTTTTGTGTGTATTAAAGGGAGGATATAATGGCAGAACAACATTGACGCCACTGATGTCTGTTGCGGGCCATGACGTCCAATGTTTCCAACCACTGCGATTCAGCATCTCGTGGTCCCCAACCTGGAAGACGGACTGGTCCGACTGCTACCAAACTTGAGGTTGCCTTCTTCATGCTACTTCTCCACGTCATTGACAGCCCACCGCGGCACTTTTTCCAATCGTTCCCTGGGAGTGCAAATACCGCTTGACGTGGAAGGCGATGGGCTGGCATGCGGAAAACATGCCCGAGCCAACGCGTGCGATGTCGGAGAATAACGTCCCGAAGACTGACACTATTCGCTCCAAGCACGCGGTCTCGCACCTCTGCGTTGCTTACGTAGTGTTGCCACCATACCTGAGCAATCCTTCGTAGACAACGATTGCCGAAGACTGACAGCCGCTTCATGTCTTCCGAGTGAATAGGTCAAGTCTCACAGTCGTAAAGAGTACTGCACGGACGGAAGCATTGTACACCCTATCTTTGAGCTTGAGACTGACATCAAGACGACGCCATAGGTGTCTCAGTTTGATGAATGTAGGATGGGCTTTGCAATCCGTTGTGAGACTTCATCTCCAACACCGCCACCAGCCGTGATGCAACTCCCTAGATAAGTAAAGCAAGGGACTTGCTCCAGAACATGTCCAGCAATGGTGAGCGTGCGTTCAGGCAACTGCCAGTCCTGGAGCAGCGTTTTACATTTTCCTGGAGTGAAGCATAAGCCGTACTTAGACGCCTCCATCGCTAAGCGGTCCAAAGCGCTCTGGACGGTTTGTGGGTCGTCCCTCAGCAAGGCAATATCATCGGCGTAGTCCAAGTCCGTGACTCTGTCTCCAGAGAGGAGCTCAACACCGCAGTTCTGGACACCTTCCAGTGCTCTTTGGACAACATCTTCGATGGCACAATTGAAGAGGAAAGGTGAAATAGGGCAACCTTGGCGAACATCGCTGGTCACAGCAAATGAAGAAGAGCGTGCCGTAAGCTCTGACTTTGCCCGACGTGTGACTGTAAAGTTCTTTCAGGATGGTTACAAACTTGTCGGGCACACCTTTCTACAGTAAACAGTTCCACAACGCAGATCTATCTACTGAATCAAATGCCGCTCGGATGTCCAAGTACACTACGATTGTTGGCCGCCGGTGGATATGGAGAAGTTCGAGAAGTTGGCGAAGCGTGAAGATTTGGTCGATGCATCCGCGACCTGGACGAAATCCGGCTTGTTCTTCTCGGGAAAACTCCTCTCTAGTCGTTGAAAGCCTGCGAAGTAGGACCGACACGAAGATTTTGGATGCGACAGAGAGTAACGGGATTCCGCGGTAGTTGCAGCAATCGTCGCGGGAGCCCTTCTTGTGAATCGGAACAATGACCGATTCTCCCCATGAGTTCGGAACTTCCACCTCAGTCCAAACTTTCGTGAACAGCGATAGGATTTCGCTGACAAGTACACCCTCGTCATCTTTGATAAGAGCCGGTGGTAGGCTTCGGGACCCGGATCCTTTGTAGCGTTTCAAAGATTGGATTGCATTTCGGATCTCTGCATCATTTGGGGGGGGGGGGCTGTGGACACAGGCCAAGCATCATCCATTGGGGCTGGAGGTGTCACAAGGGGCTATGTTAGGTGGTTGAATTGAAGAGCGAAATGCCTTGCCCAGCGACCCAATCACCTGTGAAGGTTGGTGATCTTCGCTCCGTCTGATTCGCAAATCGTCTGGATGATGGCGTGGAAATTGCAACCGGTGGCCCGGATGATGTAAAATAGACGGCGGAAGTTGCCAGCTGATGCAGCGGCTTCCATCTCATCAGCTTGTTTTGACCACCAAGATTTACGATCAGAGCGAAGGCTTGCTTTCAGCTGTTGCGTACTAGACCGGTGGTGTTCGTTGTACTCTGCGCCAGCAGGCACCGCCCGTCGACGATCCAACAATTCCGAGGATCTTCCCGAGATCCAACTTTTGGGAGTGGAGCGAGCGAGGCCGCAGCTGGACAAACCGGCCGACAGCATGGCTTGTTGCAGACTTGACCAGTGTTGATCAACATCCAGAGTGTGAGAGAGAGCGAGATTTTCACGAAGCCTTTGTTGATACTCTTCTTCACCATGGATTCCATCAACTTGTAGGTGTTTAGTCGGGTGTGTTTAGACCTAGACGAACCACCAAAACGCATGCAAACGGTCGCACATACCAGTGCATGATCGGTATCGACGCATGTTGACCAAAATGATCGGCAGTCGCGTACGCTGCCGCGCCACCTGCGACTTATAGCTATGTGGTCAATCTGTGACTAGCGCTGGGTTGATGATGGGGGGCACCTAGTTGCGTACTGGCGTCCAGGATGAGGAAAGCTGGTGCTGAAGAGGATTAGTTGATGATCAGCATACAGACTGAGCAGTCTCTCTACGTTGTCTGAGCGAACATCATCATATCCATGCGGTCCCCTGAGGTGGCGCTCACCTGGCAGCAGACGACCGACACGAGCGTTGAAGTCTCCTACCAAACAGAAAACAATGACGTCTGTAAACGTGGTCTCAACATAATGGAGATTCGCCAAGACTAAACCCAACTTCTGTTTCCCTCGGAAAGCCTGACAATCATGGTGCCGAAAGAATGACATGGGGGGTCAAGGGTAAGGAAATACAAAGGGCTTTGAATTTAAGCCGACTGAATACCGGATAAACACAAAAGTCATTGCACAACGAAGCGATTGGCTGGCTTACTAAACAGCCTTCGTCTGGTGTCAACTGGGTGGTTCGGGTTTGTTCCGTTCCAGTATATGGTTCGACGGCAGTATTCCAAAAGCTAGTGGGTTCTTGCATGACATGCGTTCTCTCTATCAAAAGCCACAGAGGTCCGTTTAACAACACAACTAAATAAAGTCAGTGTTTTTCGATTCACTGCTTGCACAGTTCTGTCGCACTTGCGTGAGCACAATGAGGCCTGAACATCGTCTAGTCGTCTTAATTCTCTTTCCTTTCTCACAAACTGCAGTAATAGGCCAGTGAAGCTAGAATGGCTTTGATGGCGTCATGATAGCCTACAATGTTCCGATAATCCAACAGCTGTATCGGTTCTGCCCCACTAACAGCAAATACGCGAAAGCCCATAGATTAGCAGGGGACCACTGGGTCGCCGCCTATCTGCTTCATCAGTTGCGGTCCCAGTAACTGAATTGGATAAAGTTTATTACAGTAGAAATCGCGGTCCATGAACATATAGTTTCAGGAAATTCGTGCAAGGCCCAACGCTTGGACATTACATAAGTTCGCCGAGATTGGACTAACGTCCTGGCGTAATAATGAAACAGTAAGCACTTGCGAACGTGTGAGTGTACGTTGTTAGCGTGATTTATTTTGTGACACTGCACCCCGCGTGTAGGTATCGTACACTTAAAGGGATCCTCTCATAGGCAACACACACAAATGGGATACGTCGAGTTAGGTGAACCCCAGTGTTAAAACGTGCTTGACGGAGGCTCGGAATATATGTTCCCGGTTGTTGATGATTATCGGATGATGCATGATATTTCAAGTCATAGAAACCCAGAGCGCACAAAGCGGGCTATGGCTTCCGCATGAGGACCTACACCGTAATTGTCAATTTTTAATTGATAGCTACGGATCATTCTGTAGGTGTCGCATATTGCCACGTCCACTACGTGTGTCAAGAGTTTTTGATGGTGATTTGACCCGGTATGATATACTTTGATGCCACTGCGGTGCGTGGCTCCGGGATAATTTGGGCTCCTTTGAGACGAAAGGTGTTGGTTGGTTGCTTCAAGATATCGTTGTG